TGGCGCGCGCGCGCGCGCGCGGCCACGTCCCGCGCCGCAGACCCGAGCTCCGGGGAGAGCGCGCGGCGCCCCCGCGACCGCGGTCCCGTGCTCGCCCTTCGCGGTGCCCCTTGGCACCTGCCTGCTGGGCAGCGGGAAACGCTGCGTGCGGCGCCGGCCTTTGCGCTCCGCCTGCCTCGCGCGGTCTGCGTCCGCCTGTCTCACTTCTCCTCTCCCTCCCCCACCCCGCGCTCACGCTTCCTGAGCGTCCCAAACTTTCTCCCGCCCGTCCTGCCTCGGCTCCGGTTTCAAGCCCTGCTCGGGGGGCCCAGCGCATCCCGTGGAATCCAGAGTTGGTCCTTTTGCTCCTCTTGCTCCCTCTTAATACGTGTTCACGCCACCACTTTGGGCGATCGCCCTCGCAGATGTCAAGGACTGCCCGCGGCTCTCTGTCCACGCTCACAGCTTCCTCTTGGTGTAACCTCGCCCCCTATTCCAAATAACACCTATATTACAGTTAGCTAATAGCATCCTTCTGTATTTCTTGACAATCGTTATTTTACTCCTGGCTTCAGACGTTTGGGTGGTTTCAGACATAATATATATTTAATAAAATGTAGTCATTTATTTGGCGTCTTAAATTAATACACAGTAAAGACTTCTTAAATGTACAGTTCTGTGATTTCTAAACATTTGCTTAGATTCGTGTAAGCACCAGCGAAGTCAGGTTACATCACGCAAAGGACTTCCCTGTGCGGCCCTTGTATAGCCACGCCCTCCCCAAACACCATTATGTGCCGGCATATGGCAGCTACTATGTTCCCCAGGGCTGTGGTTTTGTCCTCTGGAGAATATCATATACATGGGATGATACACTATGCAGCACTTTGAAACTGACTGTATTCATTCACCATCATATCTCTGAGATTCATTCATGTTGCCTGTATCAATAGTTCCTTTTATTGTTGGGTACTATCCCATTATCTGCACCACACTTTCTCTCTTCAGATTCATTGAAGGTTATTTGGGTGCTTTCCAGGTTTTGGCGATTGTGAATAGATATTCTATAAACATTTGAAAGCAGAGTTTTGTATGGACAAAAGTTATCAAAATAGGAGTGCCATTGCTAGGTCTTATGGTAAACTTGTTTAAACTTTTTAGGAACCCTCCAGTTTTTCAGTGTCTCCACCATGTTAACCACCAGCAATATGCGAGTTCCCCTTTCCTGCATTTTTGCCAGCACTTGGTATTTGCAATATATGTAATTTTAGACATTCTCATAGGTGCGTCATGATATCTCATTGGTTTTAATTTTCAAGTCCCTCGTAAAAAATAATGTTGAGCATCTTTTCGTATCCTTATTGCTACCCGTTTATCTTCTTTAGTGAGGTGTCTGTTCACATCTTTTGCCCATTTTTTAATTGGGCTTTTTGTTTCCTTCTTGTTGAATTTTAAGAGTCCTTTGTATATTTTCGATAGAAGTACTTTTATGCTATGTATTTTGCAAATATTTTCTGCCAGTGTGAGGATTATCTTTCCATTCTCTTAACAGTCTTTGCAGAGCAGAAGTCTTTAATTTTAATAAAGTCTAACTTAGCAATTTTTTTCTTCCATGGAAAATACTTTTGATATTGTATCTAAAAACATCACCAAACCCAGCGTCACATAGATTTATGTATATTTTTTTCTTTTCAAAGTTTTATAGTTTTACATCTTACATTTAGGTCTATGATCCATTTTTATTTAATTTGTGAAGGTATAAGGTGTCAAGATTTTTATTTTTTTGCATGTGCATGTTTAGTAGCTCCAGCATGATTTGTTGAAAAAAATTACCCTTTCCCCCATTGAATTGCCTTTGCTGCTTTGTCAAAGATCAGTTGACTATATTTGTGAGGGTCTAATTTCTGGTCTTGCTACTCTGTAACAAGTTTATTTTTTTGACCAATACAACAGTGTCGTGATTACTATAGTTTTATAGTAAGTCGAAGTTGGGGGGTGTCATTTCTTTTTATTATCCTTCAAGTATTCTGTTGGCTGTTCTAGGTCTTTTGCCTTTTCATATAAACTTTCAAATCAGTGTGCAAATATCTACAAAATAGTTCGCTCAGGTTTTGATTGGGATTCCATTGAATCTATGCATCAAGTTTGGAAGAATTGAAATCTTCACAATATAGAGTCCTTCCAATCCATAAATATGATCTAGCTCCCCATGTATTTAGAACTTCTTTGAATTTTTCAGCAATGTTTCTTACCATTAACTATGATGTTAACTGTAGGATTTTTGTGCATAATCTTTATTAAATTGAGGAAGTTCCTCTCTATTCCCAGTTTGCTAAGATTTTGTTTGCTTGTTTTTAAATTATGAATGGGTATTGAATTTTGTCAGATGCTTTTTCTGTATCTATTGATATGATCACGTGATTTTATTTTTCTTTAGCCAGTTGATGTGATGGGTTTCATGTTTGATTTTCAAATGTTGAGCCAGTCTTGCATGCCTGGGATAAATCCTACTTGGTCATTGTGTATAGTTGTTTTTATACATTGTGGGACTCAAGCTGCTAATATTTTGTTGAGGAATTTTGTATCTATGTTCATGACAGATATTGATCTGTAGTTTCCCTTTCTTGTAATGGCTTTATCTCATTTTGGTATTAGGGTATAACGCTGGCCTCATAGAGTGAATTAGGAAGTGCTCCCTCTGCTTCTATCTTCCGAAAGAGATTGTAGAAAATTGGTATGATTTTTTCTGTAAATGTTTGGTAGAATTCACTGGTGAAACCATCTGGATCTGGTAATTATTTTGGAATATTATTAATTATTGATTGAATTTATTTATAGATATAGACCTACTTATGTTATCTACTTGTTCTTGTGTAAAATTTAGTAGTTGCATCTTTCAAAGAATTGGTCCATTTCCTCTAATTGGCAAATCTGTGGGTATAGAGTTGTTCACTGTAATTCTTAATTATTCTTTTAATGTCTATGAAATTAGGAGGGAAAACTCTTCTTTCATTCTGATGTTGGTAAAGTGTAGCCAATATCTTTTTTTTTATTATCCTGGTACAGTGTTATCAATTTTAATGATTTTTTTTAAAGACTCAGCTTTTGGATTTGCTAATTTTCTATGGTTTTGCTGTTTTCAATTTCATTTATTTCTTCTCTAATTTTTTTTCTTGTTGTTTTAGACTTAAATTGCCCTTCTTTCTCTAGTGTAGTAAGATGGAAGCCTAAGTTGTTGATTTTTTTAAATTTTTTTTCCATTGAATGCTATTAATTTCCCTGTAAGCATTGCTTTCACTGCATACAGCAAATTTTGATGTGATATTTTCATTTAGTTCAATATATTTTTATAATTCTTGATACTTCTTTGATCCAAATACATATAGAAATGTATTGTTTATTTTCCAAATAATTTGGGATTTGCAGCTTTTTGTTCTTGATTTCTCGGTTAACTCAGTTATGGTCTGAGAACATACTTTACAATTTCTGTTTTCGTTTAATTTGATAAGATGTGTGCTATGGCCCAGAATGTGGTTTGTGTTGGTGAATGTTCCATGCGAGCTTGAATACGGTGCATATTATGCTGTCTTTGGATAGAGTTTTCTCTCAATGTCAGTTAGATAAAGGTGATTGTGCTGTTCAGGCCAACTGTAGTGTTACGAAAAGGGACTGGTGACATCTCTATAATAGTGGATTGGTCAATTTCTTTTTTCAGTTTATCCATTTTTGCCTCACATATACTGATGATCTGTTTTTAGGCACAAAAAATGTTTAAGATTAGTTTGTCTCCTTGGAGAATTGGCTTCTTTATGGTTATCTAGTTCCCCCCCCCCCCGACCTTTATCCCTGATAATTCTCCTTGTTCTCAAGTCTGTTTTGCCTGAAATTCATTTAGCCACCCCAGTTTTTATTTGATTAGGGCCAGCATGGTATATATCTTTCTTCATACCTTTACTTTCAACCAATCAGAGACGTTAGGATTAATGTGGGCTACTTGTAGACAAGATATAGTTTGGGGTTGTTTCGCTATCCGCTCTTGGCAATATCTTTTAAGTGGTATGTTTAGAAAATTCACACTTGAAATGATTATGACTATATTTGGATTAATATCAGCCATGTTTGTATCTGCTTTCTATTGGTTGCCCAAGGTTTATTTTTCTGCCCTCTCTGGTTTTAATTGAGCATCTTCTGTTATTCTATTTTATCTTCTCTCTTACAGTATCAGTTATATTTCTTTTAAGCATTTTTGGTGGTTGTTCTAGAGTGTACAATATACATTTTTTACTAATTTATGTCCACTGTCAAATAACACTATTTAGTGTCACATGTACAACAGACATCTTATAACTATGTGTTCCAAATCTCCTCTCCCATTCTTTGCGATACTGCTGTCAGCCATTTCAATGACCTATAGGCTATAATCCCCCAACAACTTGTTAGTATTATTGCTTTAAACAGTTATCTTTTTGATGAATTAAGACAAAATATTTTATTTTACCTTCATTTATTCCTTCTCCAACATTCGTCTTTATGTAGACCCAAGTTTCTAATCTATATCAATCTTTCTTCTGTCTGAAGAAAATCTTTTAACATTTCTTGAAAGACTGGTCAGTTAGTGAATTGCCTCCACAAGTCTTTATCTCTCCTTCACTTTTGAAGGATAATTTTTCTGGATATAGAATTCTAGGTTGGTTTCTTACTTAACCCTTTAAATATTTCACTCTATCTCTTCTTGCTTACATGATTTTGGCTGTAATTCTTGTCCTTTATCTCTTTTCCTCTGCAGGCAACTCCTACCCCCAACCCCAACTCTTGCTCTGTCTCCTTT